AACATATTATTAATTAAAATAAAAAATACATCATTATTTTATTAAAAATAATTGAAGATATGTATATTATATAATATTAATTCATTAATTTAAAAAATAATTAATTAATAAAAAATATTATTACTAAAATCAAATGAAGTAAAGGAAAAAAAAAACATGCAAAGGCGTACAGGACCTGCAGGTGCAACGTCACGGAAGCCGATGAGAAGCTGTCAAGAAGTCATTAACGGTGTTTGTTAAATTTGACGGAAGTTAGTTTTCCGTCCAATTAGGACCTTATTTGAGAATTTCGTGGAGTTGGAGACCTTAATTGAGTGCAATTAAAGTTTGGATCCAACATTGCGAATTTTGTATAAGTTTGGGTCCTTATGTCATATTTATGCCTAAAAAAAAATGGTAGCTATTTTAGTTCAAAATTCAAATAGCATTGCATCTATTTTTTTTAAAGAGAGAGGAAACGACATGCATAAATTCAATCTAAACTGGAAAAAAAAAATAGTTTGGCCCCTACACCTACATGAAAGTTGTTTTGTTTGAATTGATATTTTTTCAAAAAAAATTAACAAACACCTTTTTTAAATAAAAAATAAAAAATAAAACTAAATTTCTACATAATAAAAGTCATATCTTGATAATATATATATGGGATAGAGAACTTCACTAAGTGACCTGATGGCTGTGCGTCTTAAGGTAGGTGGACTGTTCATCCGATTTGAGGTTTGAATCTTCAATTATTAACTTTTAACAATATTAATCTATTAATCATTATCCTTATAAAAAATCAAATATATATATATACATGAGATGGAGGCTTTAAAAAAAAAATTTTATGCAATAAAAAGGAATCAAAATGTTTGGTGAAGACTAAAAGACAAATGGCCCATCATTTGCTTTGAGTCAAAGCTTCCATGCTAACAACTCCCTCGTGGAGAGTTCAATGATGAGAGACTAAAACTCGTTTCCTTTTCTACCCAAAATAATAATAATAATAATAAAATAATAAACTTGTTTCCTATACCTAACCTTACCCCCTTTTGTTTTCTTCTTCTATATATATTTTTTTTTTGAAATATACCTTTATCTGCTGTTAACCTTTACCTACTGTTAACCTTTAGCCAGAACCAGAAAGTACTATATTTTTCTTTATTCTACTCTAACTTTGTGCCTCAAAAATAACCATGACTTGCAGCAGCCCTTCGGGTCAAGTGACATTTTGTCACATTATGGTGCATTTTTTTTTTTGGGTTCACGCCCGTTCTTGACAAATTATTCAAAAAAAAAAAAAAAACAGTGACTCTACCCCCAACGTGAAACAGTTTTTCTATTGTGTGCCCTAGAGCACATGATATGAAGAATAATTTGTTGAAGATTATTATTGAAAAATTTAGAAGAGTAACTTATTTTTTGGATTGATTTGAGAAGTCTTAAATATAGTTTAAAATAAGCCAATGAAAAATAGACACATTTCATAATTCAAATTAAAATCCATTTTTATATTTTTTAATATAAAAGGTAAAAACCATTACTCAATTATTAATCTTATTTTATGCCCTAAAATAGAAAAACCGAACATGAGAATATCTGTAAAGTTGGTACTACAACTTAAAAATCTTAATTTTGAGTTACACTCGAAACTTAAAATCTCTATAATGTCCAGTAATTATATATTCTCATTTAAATTATACTTAAAATAAACTAATTATAAATGCACTTTCTTATTCAAGATTATACTAGTATTCAATCTAACTATTCACTACATTTTAATGAAGAATTTTACCATACATGTATATAATTGCCCTTTGCAGTTCAAAAGCAAAATAAGTTTTTTCACCATGCTCTTTTCCAGTGTTCACTTGCAGAGAGAATCCATCAGCTCACAGATCCTGTGAAGTGTAAGCTAAATCCAAAGACTAAATAGGTGACTATTAAAGATAATGATCAAACAATCTACAATGAAATATAGAGCTGCCACTGCTAGAACCATGTAGCTGACAATGGATAAAGAGATTCATTTCAAATGAAGAAACGAACATCAAATTAATACAAACATGCTCCGTCATCTCAACAACTCTTTTCATGTTGTTCATCAATATCAAAGGCAGTATAGTATCACCATGGATAAGCCAACATATTACCAGAAAAATAAAAAAAAAAGGGAAAAAAAGAAAAGAAAAAGAAACCAACATGATAATGGAACCTTTCCTTTGGTCACCCCTAACTGCTATGGCAAATCTGTCTTGGTTTATCATTTGGTCTTTCTTACTTCTGCTCTTTTAGAAGGCAAAAACAATTTTTAGCAAAAGTTATAAAGAGATCATGAATCATAAAAGAAAGATCTAACTCCAAAGAAACCTTAAAAATAGAAAAAGGACGGGAATTAGAGGCATCAAGAGCAAGAGGAATGGCAGGAAAAGGTTAAGTTATTGTTAAAGAAACCACAATACATCATGGAAGTCTAGTCCAATCTACTCAGCTTTGTTTACTGAAACACCCTTTCCCATTCTGTCAGCAAATCTAATAAGGTTATGTTTTATTGGGGGCAATAATTATTCCTTGATCAAACCATAAAGATAAGTGTAAAATTAAAAAACTTATCTAATTTGGACTTTGTTTGGTTTAGCCATTTCAAACTGGTTAATATTTTCAGTTGTTCATAATTCAAACACTATTAACCGTTAAATAATGACTATCAGCTATAGGTAGTCTGAAACAGCTAAATCAAATAGACTAAGTAAACAATGTATAATTTTAAGGCTTAACTATTCTTGAACTATTCATAACTTGTTAAGTGAGTATAGTTTGACCAAGAAATAGTCATTATTCCCAATTAAACATGACCTAAAATATTACATATCATGTAGAGTAGTTAGAATAAAAAGGACTAGAGACAGGAACTCCCAATCCAAAAGAACGGTGCAGAAAAATAAACAGTGTTTCCTTCCATAACAACATTGGCTGACAATGTTATTTTATCTGGTAAGAATTCTTCAGGTTGCCATTGTTCAAGTAAAATATAGTGATTCTCTTGCTACACATCCATCTCCATTTTCACTTTGACGAAGTTTTTTACTGCTTGTGATACAAAATTATGAAACACGATATTCCTTTTACAAATAAAACTCTATAATTGTTATCTTTATTGGAATTTGGAAAGGTAGGAGGTGGTAAAGTAAATGCTCAGAATATTAATTGTCTATGACTCTACGGTAGAATTAGAAGTGAAACTGTTTCTTGTGAGCAACATTGCCGTGAAGTTAAAGTTTAAAGTACAATGATCATGAGTAATCACGTGCTAAATGAAACATTAAGAGCTGAAATATCCTATTGCTAATTTCTGACAAGTTTGCAGAAATTTCAATGATCATGAGTAATCTCACTATGATCTATGCAATGCAGTTCATGACAATCACTTCATAGTTTAAGACCTTCAACTTAAGAACTTAATGGCCAGAAAAAAAAAAAACAGAAAAAGAAAAGAAAAGAAAAGAAGCTTAGTAACTCGTGCTCTTAACTGTGATTCAAAAATCACAGATATATTTCTTAGCACTTTAGTAACATATTAAACACAAACTCTTTAGATACAAAATCCAGAAATACTTTCTCTACTTCTTTTCGACCTCAAACAAAAATGTATTCTCAATGTACCTTGTATTGACTAAAAGGCAGTCACTTAATTGCCTAAGTTTCTAGAATTGCAAAGTATACCAATTTGCAAGCCCTACACCATCAGTTTGTGAGAACCATCGGAACTCTCACTTCAAAGAGCAGACTCTAATATTTGAGTGTTCATTAATTCAAATCGTAACCAACTCATTTGCACATTTCACTTTAGATAGAAAACAAAATACAAATTAAGCAATTTTTTAAGAAAAATAAGAAAACAAGAAGCAGCTCTACCACTGAAGAGTGAGTAACTAAGATGATTATTCAAAATTCCAAACCATTTAATCAAACTATTATCAGATACTCAATTAAACTCATCAGCTTTTCATGCTAGTTCATGTTTTCATTTTTCTTTGTCATTGCACAGATTGTCTTCACAAGTTTCCAAGGCAGAATAGTTGCTTAAGGGTTCATCACTCTAGCGAGTTCCCTAATAACACATCATCCCTAAACTGGCCGCAAAGGAACAATGTAAAAATTTTTCACTAGCTATCGTTGTCCATTTATAAAATCTAGCTAAGATAATTTTGCATTATAAAGGACTCAAAATTGCTACCATAAGATGGATAGCAATCTACATTACAGGACAGAAGAACTGTTATGATGCCCCTTTTTCTAGATGCCCTTCAATACCTAAAGAAAAATGATGAGGCTGAATCTGGGTTAGTCTTCACAGATAAATTGGTAGTGGTAAACCAGAGAGGGAAACAAAGAGATATTTCCTCAGTGACACAAGGCAAAAATCCAAGAGATAAAATTCTCAATTAAATGGATCATTTATTATCACGAGATGAAAAGAATTCCCAATTACCTATTCTCAACTGTTGAATCATGATGGACAACCAATATTGCTGTTTAGAGGTTGCGCTCTGTAATTATAACAAACTGCTGAAATACCCTCCTCTTCTCCTAACTTGAGACTTGAATTCCTTCTACTATTGTAACCAGCCAGCACTGAATATTCTTCCACCCCTTCACACAATGCAGAATCATTGTAACCATTTTGAAGAATCAAATGAACTTGGATAATAGCAGCAGCAGTCTCAATTCTTCTTGTATTGGCATACTCAAAATACCCCAACTCTTCAAACTACAATTGTTTCTCAATGCTGGAACACTCATTAGACTCTGCACCCTATTGATCTTTTCCTCTTTTGACTCTGGTACGACATCAACAAAATGTACCATTAACCGTGGAACCAAAGGATACCCTTCATTACCAACCCCAAGTGCTCCCTTCACCTATAGCCTCTCCATTCACACTAACTGGACTCGGATTCAATAACACCCCTAGCTCAATGTCTTTATATAAAGTTGAACACTTTAAGATCCTTGAATTGCTTTTATCACCACGAAAAGCGGCAACAATGCTCAAAATTCTGGACAATGAATAAACCACAATTTGGGCAGCAATGCTTTCTTCATCATTTTCTTTTGACAATATCGAACCTGCTGCAATCAATAACACCGCCACAATTCAGTAACCCACAAAGCTCTTCAAAAGAAGAAGATACCAATTTAAGCTCATCTAAACTAGGAAACGGCACCCAGAATCGAAAATTAGTGCAAAGAACAGGACATAATTGACAGAACCGAGTTACTGACACGGAAACCCCAAATCCCTGAGACCCCTGTAACTAACCTGAATTCAGACCAATACCCTGACGTATCTCCGAGTCGGCATTTCAGTTACGGCTCAAACAAACCCAAGAGTCTATGAACAAACCGGGTTGTCACTGAGTCGAGGTCCGAGTCCAGAGTCCATCTCTTCACCCATTGGTTCAGAATCATGTTCTGGCAAATGGGTTCTCTTCCTCTTCCGGGAAACGGAGATGAGGGAAAGAAAAGCGGCAATTTCTTGAGAAGAGAGAGGATGGTTGAGGATGGAGAAGTGGTTTCCATTGCAATTTGAATCAAAATCATCGAAAATGGAATTGTGGGGCAAGAGAAAGGGCTGAGAGAGTGCAAGGAAAAGAGAGTAGAGTAAAGCAGACAGCTTCCGTGAATTCATGTCTTGGCATTTTGTCGGAAATCGAGGGGTTTTGGTTTTCTTGGGAATCGGATTGTTTTGTGTCAGGGAGTGTTGGGGGCGGAGAATCCGATGCACGTGTCTTCGTGTGGAGAAACAGAATCTTGTGCTTTCTTTGCAACACGTGAATTAAATCAAACCGACGTTTTTCGGTTTTAGCAGCTGTGTTTGCTGTTTGGTTTGTGGGGAAAATTTCTAACTTTTCTTAGAAAATGGTTTTTATTTTTATTTTTTAAATTCTATTAGCAATTGGTAGAATTTGAAGGATTGAAATAACTAGAATTTAAGATATCAAAATTTAATAAAATAAGTATATTACCTACATGAATTCTTATAATCAATATTTTACTTATGAATTTTCAATGATTTTAAAAAATCATTGTAATTAGAGATTTTATGATAAAACTTATAAAATAAATATAGTTAATATTAGAACTTAAGTTTTTTTCTCCTTAATCAACTCTTGTATATTAACAACCGATGGATCATATTACTCCTTAAGTCTCTTATTTATAAAGGTATGCTTTTCTAAATAAGAGAGAGGGCCTAACGCATTATAATAATATTTTAGACAATCTCATCAAGTAGCTTACTTGTAATTTCAAACTCTATACATATTTATATCATACTATATAAAACTGAGATAGAATCTAATTTCATTTGAATCAAATAACTTGGGCTTTATCAATTTTTTTATTTGATCCAATTTTTGAAAACCAATAACAATTAGCAATAGTCCACCTAAAAATTTCCAACAAAAATATCATTTGTTTTCAAATTCCTCCCATTCCTATTGCCTCTAGTGAGTGGAGGGTCGTATAAGTTGAATTTTATACAAGAGATGGTTTTGAGAGTTGAACTTTTTTTATTCAAATTAATATATTATTGGTGTAATATATTAAATTTTATAAAAGATAAAATATGAATCCTTCCTAATCAAACTTTAAGAAAATTCTATTTCTAATATCATTGTTTTCTAATTCCTTCCATAAATATGTCACTATTTAGTGTTTATTCCTTTTCTAAGGAGGTAATT